TATAATATATTTTAAGGTAATTTTAACTTTAAATTAAAGGTCTCAAAATTCAAAATACTTTGATATATTATTCCAATTTTTTGGATTTAAAAATAATTTTTAATAATTTTTAAAGTTCTATTAATGAAAATACATTTAAAACTAATTAAAACTAATTAAATATTAATTCGGTGGCGATCAGACACTTTGCGAGCTCCTATTCGTGGGTTCAATCTACCGCAATCATTACTGATGATTGCACAGCAACGCAATCAATGACAATGAATGTGCAAAAATTGCGCATCCACTTATCAGTGTTAGCACGCGCTTTCAGTTGACCGATTGTATGCAGTATGGAATGAACAGCGTTGATCACTCCGGACGTACGGAATGCTCGCGGGATCGGATCTGGGGTCGAACGCCTCCACGTAATTGATTGATCTGGGCCGCTGATTACGAATATGTGTCATGAATTTGACTTAAATAGGTTAATTTTGACTAAATCAAGGTTGGGTTGATCAAGTCAAGTTGATTAGGTCAACATGGTCAATCAAGCCCAAATTGATTAAGAGTTGAGCTAAAGGGTATTTGAAATTGATTTAAACTCAAACATGGGTGATTTGAACTGGCCTGGTCAACCAGGTTGACCTAGGATCTGGATTTGGGCTCAACAAGTTTGGTTTGACTCATTGAACCCAATGGAAGTGGTCTTAGGGTTTGGCTTGGTCAATTTAACCAAGTCAACCCTCTTGACCCTTGTCTAGTGAAAAAAAAGGTCAACAAACGCTTATATAGTTGAATTACCATCTCATATCCACACATAGTCAACCTTCAATGTCACCGATATCCACGCCTACCACCCACAAGATGATATCGACAACAACCACAGTAGAACTGTGGACTCTTTGTAGCAAGGGAGACCTGATGCAGTGCATCATATGAACCAGACTTATCTTACCCTCTTTAACTACCCATTATCTTTTTATGTTTTAGTTACCACTACCTATAGCTGCATTTACTTTGTTAGTTAAAACATTACTTATTACTTTGCTCTTGCATTAGGCAAATATAGTAGAAGGAAGTTAGTCCCAAAATATATGTGCTAATGGAAGATAGAAGAAAGACAAGAAAATATATACATAATTTGGGTTCTTCCCTATTTTTCGTTTCTCTATTCTGCTCAATATAAGCTTGCAGGAATTTCGAGTATTGTTGATACAGGTGTTCACATAAAATATAATCAAAGGACTGCACAACAATATTAAATACATAAATATCACTTGCAATGTGAGTTAAAATCTATTAAAAAATGCAAGTCTTAAAAACCAGTTGAATTATATGCAATTATATATGCATACTACTATTTGAGTGCTTTACATTTATACTATATAATAAACTTATTTCAATATTTAGATAAGCAAAAAAGAAGCCTAAAAATATTTTAAGCACAAACCAAAAAGAAGCCTATCATGATAATATAAATAAGGTGCTAAAATGTTTATAACAAAAACAATAAAGTTTAGATATCGTTGATCGTTTAGAAAGGTATTCCTTAGGAGAGGATAGATTAGTGTCTATAGATTGGCTAAAATAATTAAGAATCTATATAAAAAAGATAAGGTTGCAATGAAGATTAAAAAAATTAAGAATTAAGCAAAAAAATAACCAATGGCAACAAGACATATAACTGGCCATTGTAATAATTAGTCAAACCTTATCTAGCAAATCAACTTACAAATAAAAAGGAAAATTAATTGGTACAAATATGTTTTATTTAACAAAAAATAGCATAGAAAATACTTAACCACCATTCAAAAATAGAAAAAAAAAACTATAATTATAGAGTTATGAAAGCAATAGCGACAATTGAATAATGAGATAAGATTCATGGTGTAGTGGACACAAAAACAGCCAACTATATAAGACAAATTAATTAAATCTCTAATTGATTCTTGAGCCCAACAACCAAAATAATACCATCAAGAGGGAGAAGAAAACTTAATTACCTAAGGACATGCCTTCAAGGAGGAGGGAAAGCCACCATTGAGTTCATGTGAGAGGGAAGAGTGTTGGCAGCAGGGATGTTGGGTTGCAAGATTGAGAATTATAAAAAACAAAGAAGGTGAAGAAGCTCGATCAAGATTCTTTAGCAACTCATTCAAAACTCTTCTTCACGAGAATTTTTAGATCTCATTGCGAAAGGAGAGGAAGGCGAAGGTCCTTTTGGCAACTCTTTCAAAACTTCTTACATGAAGTCGAAGAGAGAAGAAGGCAAATAACCTTTGAGAGAGAGAGAGAGAGATTGTTATTACCAGCAGGAGAAACCAGAGAGAATGAATGTTGTGGGAGTTTGAAAGGATTGCAGGATTTATATTATGAGATAGAGATAGTTATTACATGTGGTTTGTGTGGAATACGAAGAGTTTTTGCCATATGTGGGATAATGATTTATTTTTTAATTACGAATAATCATAAAGGCCAATATATGGCTGAGATTCATTTTGTAAAGAATCACAAGACGCTTATATGTATGGTTAGGATTTATTTTGTAAGTGCAAACAATCATAAAGGACAAATGGCTAGGATTCATTTTGGGGATATATCACAAGAGACGCTTATAAATAAATAAATAAATAAAATATATTAGATAGTAGATAACCATACCTACCAAGCTAAATTCATAACTTCAACATTGTGAAATATTTCAATTGGCCAAAATATATTAAAAGAAAGCAATCATTGAATAAGAGAAGTGTCTGCAGTGAAGTAAAGCATTATGACTATAAAATTCATGCAGGGAGCATAGCTTAAGAAAAAAAAAAAAAACACTTGGCTTACCTCACTTCTAACACATTTATAAAAAAGGTAAACCAGGTTTAGCCATAAAACCTCCCTCTTGATCACCAAGAACAAAAAGTTTGCCATTCACTACAATGCAAGCCCTGAAAGCAAAATAAATTCAAAATTAAATCACCAATGCATGCACAGCTAGGCATCCAGTTCATACCAAAAAGCCATCAGTTATTGCTTTGGTAAGTCAAATTATTGGTGATATAATTTATCTTGATGGGACACGAATCTCGAGGCAAGAATCAAGTTGGAAACTTTAAAAATTAAATCTGGGATCATCTAAACTCCAATTTCAGCAAACTTGCAGTCAAACTGAACGCCTCAAAAATTTGAGCCCAACGACACCAAATTCGACTCAATCTGAGCCTAAATGAGTCGAAATCAAATACCCGAAGCTCCTTTGGAAGGTTCAAACTATAATTTGGATTACCAAACAATTTCAGAACGTGACATGCTTATAATCGAATTGAGCGGCTAAACGAGACGAATCCAACGAGCCCAAGATCGTCAAATTCTGATATCATTAAGACATTCAAATGCCTAATAAAAAGTATATGATTAAGGGATTCAACATCGATCGTCCATTCAAACCACTCACATTTTACCCTTGATCTTCCTCCTATTTACTAGTCATGTCACTCTTAGAAAATTATAAATAGATACATCAATCATTTCTCATAGAAAGGGACCCCGAGGGGGGAGGGAGGTGGGTGCAAGAAGGAGGCCCAAGCAAGAAGAAAAGGAAGAGAAGGAAGAGAGTTCTTTTGCCACCAAACTCTTCCTCAACCACCGCCGGACTTCTACCCGATAGCCTACTGACGCTGGAGTTCTGCCCAAATGCCGACTGATGCGGAGTTCTGCCCAAATGCCGACTGACACCGTAGTTCTGCTCGGTCAATGATTTTTTACCCAACGCCAGACTTTCGCCCGTCGCTAGACTTTTGCCCGTCACTGTTATTTCGTCATACTTCTACCCGATGTCAAACTTCCGCTAGCTTGTTGCAAGACTTCTGCCTGTCTCCAGACTTTAGTCAGACTTCTATCCGAAGTCAAATTTCTGCCCGTTGTTATATTTGTACCCGACGCTAGACTTCTCTTAGTTACTGGACTTCTGACCGTCGTCGGACTTTCATCGGACTTCTACCCGACACCAAACTTTAGCCCATTGCCGAACTTCCAACCTCCGTTGTCAGCCGACTACGATCCCTCTAACCACCATCATCAGAATACGGTCTTTTTGAGCTCCGTCGCCGCCAACTATGGTTCTACTGACTAAATAGATGTATCAATAGTGATTCTTTCAAGTCCCATCATGTAATACACACTATATGATGTATATTTGTTTCATAACACTTTCATAACACTAAGGCCTTCCCCCAAGTAAGGGCCTCCATTTGTAATCGATTGCAAATACTAATGGATTCATTTAAATTGGGCTAGACACCGTAGTTTTTCCCCTTTTCAGGATTTTCCACATAAAAATCTTGGTGTCTCTAATGAATGCTTCACAATCTCTTTCCATCTAATAGTGTGCTGGATTTTCTTACAAAGCTAAGACGTTAAAATTTATATTTCTCTACCGCCGCTAATATTCTAGGACACACCAATTGGGATCCTAAAATATATTCAATATCGAAAAATAATGCTGAAATTTAATTATTTGAAGACCCTGATTTTCCACATCAGTTAATTCACACATAATGTAGAAGTCCTAACCAGATACAGTTAAAACTTCCTTATCAGAAATGCATGAGATTGGCCAAAAGGAAATAAAGTCGGCAACCTTACAGATGCTGAAAAATTCACATTCATTGTGCAGTTAAAGTATCACAATAACTAATCCGGTTCAACTCATAATGGGACAGTTAATCCAGCCATAAACATGAAGTCGCTAAGAAGTTTTCTTAACAATTTTGATATCAATCTTGCAAAGATCAAAATAATCGTGTTAGTTAAATTTTTTACTTACCAATTTACGGTTTTTAGCGGAAGAAGCATTCGAAAGGTGTCAAAGATCATTACCTTCACAGCGATCAAGCTCACATATTTGCTTCAGATGAACGTCATAGAACTGTCGAGACATCGGATCCGACATGAAGGGAACTTCACCGAAGGAGGCTAAGAAGCTAGCAAATCATTTAAAATAAGTTTTACCTTTTCAGCTGTGAAGAAGGTGAAGTCGAAGGCGAAGGCGAGAGAGAGGACCATTGGTGAGGTGTGAGCACTTGAGTTGCTGCATTCGGTGAGAGCGGCGAGAGGGATATGAGCGGGAAGAGCTGATGCGTTAGGCTACAGGAGGAAGAGTTGAAACAAGTTCTGCGCTTGGCTGGAACTGGAAACCGCTTGGCTATTGGAACCGAAACGTGGAACGTTAGATTTTTTTTGGTTATTTTTTTTAATTGAGACAACCGTTAGGCTTGAGAGTGAAAATGCTCGGCTTTGGAACCGAGTGAAACTGCTCGGTTAATGCGACGGAGTTAATCCGTTGGGCTTTTGCCTTTTGAGATCGAAAGGCAAGCGAATGAGAAAGGTTTAAAGTGAACGGAAGGATGTTAATATTTGACATGACATAAAATTTTGATTTGATTTCAACTAAAATATTTTGGGTTAGACCCGATCCAATTTCAAAATGGGTAGAGTTCGCAATCCCGGATTCGACCCATTTCAAAAAAATGGGTCGGGCTCGGGTTGACTGACGCAGGAGCGTCCATATAAATAAATTGTATTTTCTTATTAGTGATTGGTGTAGCTCTATCTCTTGTGTAGCCTATTATGTGACTACATGAAGTCTATAAATATAGGCGGTGTCTTGTAATAGGGGGGGAGTTAGAGATTAATAAAATTAGAGTTTTTACTCTGTTCTAAATTTCTGTATCCTAAGATTGTTCTTAGGTGCTGGTTCTTGCTCCAAGAAGGAGTTCTTGGAGTGGTGTCCGGCGAACGTCACCGGATCTTCGACGTGGATTTGTCGAGCCCTCTTCGGTCCGGTGTCATTTGGTATTAGAGCCGGCAAGATGCTGGAGATAGTTTTGTTTGCTTAATTCCTCTAGACCGTAGTGAAGAGAAAGCCAAAGCAATTTGGAAGCAAGTCTTCTTAGACCTCTTGGAGGCGTTAGCTGCTACCTCCAAGAACTTGGTCGTGTTAGCTCTGAGGTTGCCGTTGGAGCGCTGTCTTGATTCTTGGTGGCCACTTGTCAGCCTCATTGATCTTCGATGGCGCAGATCTTCGGTGGAGAAACGATTTCGGTGGCGAATCAGCCTCGACAAGCCGAAATAGTTGATCTTCAGAAATAGTTGATCTTCAGAAAGAAATTATTCGACTAAAACGATGCATGTCAATGCTCGAACAGAGGAAAGGCTTGAGTCCCCTTGCCCGAGACTTCGTTTGTACCTCGTCACAGGATTATCAGATCTCTTCTTTCTGCAACGACGTTTTTAAAGGGTCAAACCATATGGCTTTCTCTGCCCCTTTGATCGAGTCTAGTTTCGATCAGTTTGAAGATTCGTTGTTGAAATCATCGTCTTTGCCCATTTATGATGAGTCATTGTACGACGAATATGTTGATGACACATTCATAGGAGTTATTGATTTTGATCAACCTGTATATGATGATGACGAGAACAAGGTGGATGCAACACTAGAGTTAATCATTCCGGATAAGACAACAATATGCTCACCATCATTGATAGTGAAATGGTTTGGTGTCGGGTTTGATTCATACCTTGAAAAGCGCCATTTGAAGGAGCTAACTAAGGACTTTTCTAATGATAAGGATGAGAAAGAAAGGACAAAGAACAAAACCATTAAATTCATCAAAAACTTTCATCGATTTCAGTTTATACTGAAGTCTCTCCCCGGCGAGGCGAATGACATATGGTGGAATTATCCAGACCTGTTTAGCCAACCAAACCTGCCTCCAAATGATATAAGCAAAAACTCATAATGATCGTATCATATTTTGAATACAATCTTGGCTAGGTCTTCCTTTTAATGAGCAATTGAAGATATTCAAATCGCAAATCAATCTTAGAGAAAACTAAAGCTCATTCAAGCTAATCAAACAAATAATTAATTCTTAATAATGATACTAATTTGTAATAGTGAGCTTATTTAATTCACTGTAATCAATATACATTCTGAAACTTTCATCTTTTTTCTTTGCAAACAATAGTGGAGCTCCCAACAATAATGTGCTAGGCGTTATAAATCTTTTATCTAATAATTTCTACAACTAGCTTTTTAAATCTTATAATTTCTTAACTACCATACGATAAGGTACTTTAACCATTAATTGGTTATGAATCTGATAAAATTGAATAGTAATGTTTATTTATCTTTCAATCTGTAATCCATGCATATCATCTAAAGTACTTTTAGGTATTCTTTCACCACTATTATGTCTTCCAGCCCCCTAACTTTTTTAATTGTATCTTTTACCTGAGCAAGAAAACTCCTGATACTCATTATTCAGCAATTTATAAGATTTTAAATAGGTTATCACTATTGATTATGGTCCCCTATCTCCATAAAATTTGAGTTGTTATTTT